ACCAGTTGCTAAATTTTTTTAATTAAAAGGGCATATTTGTATGCACATAATAGAAAGCTCATTCTGAATGATTAGATGCAGAATATTCCCCAAGGCTTTCGTCTTCCACGACCTGCATATAATTTCAGTCTCCCTCTGGGGTACCTGCCGCACCATGGACAGGTTTTTCTGTTCCCTGTGACCCCTCTCCCTTGCACCATACTCCTGATTCCCAAGGGACCCTGGCTTTTAAAAAAAGCTAGGACTCTTTAAGTTCTGCCATTGCTGTGGCAGTAGGCTTGGTGGGTATCACGTAGCTTTTTGTTCCCTGTTACCTGCCATGATGTAAAAAGCTGGGTACCGAGTGAAACCCTAGAAGAGTTCTTACTCCTGAAGCTTCTCTGAGCCAGTCAATTCAGAATTTCTCAGAATAGAGACATTCCAATTTTTTTTTGCCTTTGGAAGCTAAATTTACATTGCTTGGCAGGACAGCAAAGAAAGGAAAACCAGTTTTGCCCATAACATGCTATTTTCCTTCCTCTGCAGGCCCACCCAGACCATCACTATGACTGATGGGGACTATGACTATCTGATCAAACTCCTGGCCCTCGGAGATTCGGGGGTGGGGAAGACGACATTCCTCTACCGATACACAGACAATAAATTCAACCCCAAGTTCATCACGACAGTAGGAATAGACTTCCGGGAAAAACGTGTGGTGAGTTTCTAACCATACTTTTAACCTGTTGCCAATCCTCCTGTGTAAAACAAGAATGAAAAAGCTATGTTTCTTGCTTTGCGAGGTGTCTGTCTTTTATCACATGAAATTCGTAGCCTGTCACTTTAATCCAATCAGAATATTGTTTTTTACTTTCTCAACTATAAATACCATTTTGCTTTAAAAAAAAAAAGTGGGTGACACTATCACTTGTCTCCAGAAGTACACAGAGCAACTAAAATAAATCATTTCTGGGTTTATTTGGTGTGTTGTCTACGAATACTTAAAGAATCTTTCAAAACACGAGTCAGTATTTAAAATCATTAGCTCAGATCAGGAGTTAAAGGCCCTCAGTAAAGACAAGTGTTCATTTTTCTGCTCTTAAGAAAGAGATTAAAAGAATGATTGGCAAAGAGCTGGAACGTGAGCTTTGTAAGTTCTTGCGTTTTTATTTATGTGTAGACTCAGCCATCAATCACTAGCTTATTATGAACAGAATGTGAGACCAATCCATGCTCTTTTTCAAGCGAAGGGAGTTTAAGTGAGAATCACAGCCACTTCCTTCCCCTGCGCTAGACGCCGTGACAGGAGTAAGGACACCGTGACATGTGGGACGTGCAGCAGAGGCACACAAGCTGAGCCAGACTTGCTGCCGCCCAAGGTGTGCTTGGAATTGCCAGGACGGCTGCAGCTGCCTGTTGATGTCGCAGATCCACTCGTTCCTAGAGGATTGGGATGGGGGGACAGAAAACAAAACAAAACAAAAAAACAAAGGAGATGGTGGTTGAAAACCTAAATCACAGTTCCTGATAATGTCCTGTCTCTTATCTGAAGGTCAAGTATCATAGTCTTAGCAAACTTGCTTCCAATCACTCCAGGGTTTCCTGTGCCTTCTTGCCTCCCACTGATCTAGGTATAAGTCCTTGCAAAGTCTTCATTTTAAGTTTTCACTAAACCATACTTAAGAGAGCTGCATAAATATTAAAAATCTTATGCTTTGCTTAAATAAATCCAAACGCAATCATTTAAAAATGAACTTTTCTAAAAAGAGCCTTTGAAGAAACAACTAGTAAGAGAAGGCTTGAAATATCCTGTATAAATTTACTGAGAAATTCTGTGTATATTTCATGGCTAAGTCGTTTTTGAAAGCTCGGTTCACAGCAAACGATGTTCAGGTATTTGTAAAGCATCTTACTGTTTTAAAAAATGCCTTCACATCTGTTATTTCATTTAAATTTGCAGTAACTCTGTAAAGTAGGAGGAGATTATGAGACTCAGTTTGCCAATAAGAAAAAGATGCAGAGAGGTTAAATGAAGAGTTGATATCTGTACCTACAACTTGGGTCCTAAATCTGATGTTTGCTGCCTCCATGAAGAAATGACAGAAGGTGTCTAATTTAAGTTTGCAGGATGCCTAAGTTGTGTTGAAAATCATACTTATACTTGACATTTAAAAGTGAGATTAGATGTGATACTTCTGGAAAAAACAGAGCAAATATTTATTCTGCACTATGAACTTTGATTATAGTAATTGAGAAAAAATATACTGAGTGAATGAACCCAGCGAATTTGTATGCTGACAAAATCCAAAGCATTATCAACTGATGACATTTGTATTTTTTCAGGTTTATAACACACAGGGACCAAATGGGTCAACAGGAAAAGCATTTAAGGTGCATCTTCAGCTCTGGGACACTGCAGGACAAGAGCGGTAACAGTGAATTACTTTGTTTCTAACTACAAGCAGCTTAGAAAAACTTACTTTAATGTGAATGCTGTATGTGAACTTGAAAATGTAAGGATGTGCAACTCTCCTTCTGGTCTCAAAATAGACAATTGTATTAAGAAATAAATATAAATCACTTATGGTTCATTAACCATAACTAACATTGTGTATTTGGTGCAGATTTCAAAAATCAGATTTTCAGAAATCTTTGTGAAGATTCTTATGCATTGTCTTTGTACTTTGTAATAGGAAAAAAAAAACTTTTCCAGAATTTAACTGAATTAAGGTGGGAAATTAACATCGTTGCAATGTTGCTACTTGAAAAGGGAGTTGAAGAAAAAGGGTGTTAAGCTCTTTCTCATCTCTTTCTGTCCTTACACATAGCCTCTCACCCTCAGCCGTTGGACTGGCTTTGTCTGCTAAGATTTTGGTCACACCATTGCCCTCCGGCCGGAATGCTTTACTCCCCTCTCCCCCTGCCTCGGCCTCCCCTTTCACCGAGCCTGGCTCACACGCCACCACCTCGGTGGGGCTCTTCTGAACACCCCAGCAGAAACAAACTCCTTTCTCCTGAACTCCTGCAACACCTATTCAACCATCCCTTAAGTTGCTCAGTTGATTATGTGCCACTTTGTAATGAGGAGAACCTTTTATTTATGTCTCTAATTCCTGTTCCTGAATCCACTTGTGGCCTTCACACCCCAACAAAATCACGGGCTTTATAAGGGCAGAGACCAAGCTCGGTTTTTCAGCCTCATCTCTGTTATAACATCCAAGACGAGATACTCAGGAGATGTAGCGTCGACTGTTTAGAGCTGGAGGTGCTCTTTGATGAAAATATCTATCTTTAGGGTCCACGCTTTCAGAGCCTAAAGACCCCCGGCTAGTGAAGCTTCTCAGTATTAGAGTAAACAAAAATTGGCAGTAGATTGTCAGAGAAGATATTTAGAAGGCACATACCTCCAAATTCTGCATGACATGTCTTAGAATGTTCATGCTTGTAAACACTTCAGTTTTTGAAATGAGTCCAAAACGTTCTCGCTTTCAGTGCGTTGTAGACGCCAGGAGAGGTGCTGGGCCCTCTCTGTGAGCTTTTTTGACTGTGAATCCCATTTACACACATCCTTCAGCACGGCTGGTTCTTTTGAAGTCATTCCTCACAGGAGTCTCTGTTCACTTGTCAGTTTTGTTGTCACAAAGATGTATGTTTTATAGACCAATTTAATTCATTTTTGAGGGAATAATATGAGGACATGTGATTCCCATATGTCTTCACACTTGATATGTCAGCTTGGCGTGAAGGCAGGCTTCTCTCATCTGCCCCCTAAGACAGCTGCTCTAGGAGGGAAGTGGGACGTGCTCGGGGCAGTCTTAGTAACACCGAGGATACTCATCCTTTGAGAATGTTACGTTCTGTGTACCTAAGGTGTAGCTCAGCAACAGGATACACAGCGCCTCACGTCTCAGCCCTGTGCCTGAGGACATCTGGCACTGTCACCCATATAAGATAATGTTTATCGATAAAAGTAACATTATGGGAAGGAGGGGAAAAAAACCCACACCCCTTACATAACCCTGAAGGATACAGGACACAGACTTAGCTCTCAGTGAGGGAGAAAGAGCCATAATGTGACCCTGGGATCTGTTCTTTTATGAGGTCCTAGCTTCCCCCATCCTGGGGACAGAGTGAGGTTGGTTGGTGGGTGAAGCTAGAAATCAGTTACCTTTCCCCTGAAGGAAACCCTGAAAAGAATGGGGGTTAACAAGGGTACTGGGCCTAGTGGTCCAGGGTAGGAGCCAGGTCCAGAGCAAGACTGTCTGACCCATGTTTCTACAGATGCAAAAGTCTTTGCTCCAATGAGATCCGGCCAACAAGTATGTTTTAAGTAACTGTCATGTGCTGTGGGTAATGAGAGGGGCATAAGGCACAGTCTTGTCCTCAGCTGAACACACACACACACACACACACACACACACTTAAGGAGAGGACAGAGAGCCGACTGTTGCGGCTGAGTTTGCAACACTATTGTGGTTGAGTAGGAGACAATTTTATGAGTACAGCTAGTCCCCAGAGAGAGAGAAAGAAACATTCAATGAAAACACTCTCTGAGCTTCTAGTGACTGGTAAGACCAAATCCGCAAGAATAAAACTGAATGAAAATTTTTGGTATTTCATAATCATCATGATTACGTCCTACCAAAGATATCCTATTTTAGAAATAAGTAGTCATGAAAATATCTCATCTCCCTGCTTTGGAATTAAAAGTATTGCTTTCTATTGAAGTCATTTAAATCTTTAATAATTTTGTATCCTTTGCTATTCTCTTTCTTTACTTCTTTCTCTTAACTTGGCAAACAGTTAGGGAGCAAATGTTTAAGGCCATGAAAACACAACGGATAGCAAGTTAGAAACACAGCTCCTTTTTTCTTGGAGCTTCTGGTCTAGGGTGGAATTAAGACAAAGAAACAATTGCAATATCACTTTAGGAAAGTAATAGGACAGAAAACAAAGGGAGAGAGGCAGATGCATCAGGAGGTGTCCAAACCCAGATGTGGGTGTTGGGGAGGCTGCAGGGGAAGTGATACCACTTAATGTGTGAGGGCATCTTACCCAGGCTGAAGGGGCAGGAGGTACAGGAGGCATGAAGGCAGGATTATCCACAGAAAGAACAGCACATGTGAAAGCTTAGCGGGGAGAGTGAACTTTCTAAGAACTAAAAGAAGATCAGCGTGCCTGGGGGTAGTCAAGAGATGAAGCTGCACAGATGAGCAGGGTTAGTTCATGCAGAGTCTTGACAGATTATTAAAAAGTTCAGTCATTCTCTTAAGAGCAATGGATCATCACTTCAATGTTTTTAGCAGAGGATTTACATAATCAGTGGGACAGAAGTGAGAAGGTCAGGAGATATTTGTTGATCGTCGTACAGAACACGTGAAGGAGAAAGAGGCTGTGGCGACCACGGAGGGTGGTGATGCCGCTGACAGAAAGAGAAGTCAGGAGGAGGAGCCAGTGCAGTTTTAGGCGTGTGAGGTTGGGGGACCTTCGTTTCCTCCAAGTGGAAATATCCAACAGTGTGGAGGGCAGGAAAGATCTAGATCTATAAATTTGGGGTTTAATATACAGGTGATCATTGGGCCAGGGAAGTGGATGAGATTTGCTAGTGAAAGTATATAGAGGAAGGAGGGGTCAAGAAGAGAACCCTGAGGAAACCCAAGGGTCTACAAATCAGATAACATAGGAGTCCCAAAATTAGAAGGACATTTAGGATAGGAAGTGATACGCATCTCTTATTTCAAAGTCATGTGACTTCCTAAAAGCCAGTTAGCAAACTCACTCCTTTATCAATATCACCCAAACCTTCTCTGGACCCTATGTGTGATCTCTGGTTTTGCTTGTTTCTGACATTGAAGTGGATCTCAGCGCATCTTCAACTTCCCTGACGATGTTGGCAGGGGGAGAGGGAAGGAGCAGGAGAGAGAGTCTTCACATTGCACATGAGGGAGTGTATTCTTCAAAACCCTCCATTAGAGATGGATGTTCTTGGTTCTTCTCACCAACTACTAAGTTTCTCTGTCCTTCCCTTGGTTCCCCCTAATCATCTTCCCCTTCCTCCTTTCTTCACTGCTTTCTCTCTCCTTAAGAGACAGGCATGCCAGCCTAAAGCTTAGTTTTATCCCCAAAAAGTCCTTATAAAAGAGTTCTCTCACCAACATTGTCTTTCCCTACAAAAGAGTCCCAGTTCCAGCTGCTAAGAAGTTGTGGTTTTCTGTCTGTAGTCGCAGGCATTCATTTTCAGGCTCCCATGTGCCAAGCTTCCTTCTGGGCACAGACAGGGAAATTGAGACATGTAAGTTAAAGTCCCAACTCTAAAGTGGCTTATATTATAATTGTGGACCACAAGGTACCCACGAGCCAACGAGAGAAAGATTCCAAGGGGCTGTGTAAGCAAGTGTGTGATGGAAGGGTACAAACTCTGTGTGCGTATGCGCTATGGAACGTACAACTGGGATGTGATCTTAAACAAATCCACAACCAGGAGTTCTCCTGTGGCCCTCCAGCCGTCTCTCTGCCCACTCTCCCATTCTGTAGGATAATCCAGAGGGATGTTACGGAGATTTCATATTCGAAAGGGCCATAGGGTTGCTTGTATTGTCATCATCATGTGTGTGTGGACTAACTTTCAGAACTATCCACTGTGTTCTCTTGGCAGATTCCGGAGCCTCACCACTGCATTTTTCAGAGACGCCATGGGTTTCTTATTAATGTTTGACCTCACCAGTCAACAGAGCTTCCTAAATATCAGAAACTGGATGAGTAAGTGGGACTGAGTAACTTGTATTGGCCACTTTGGGACCCAGCAGCTCCATTTGCTTGTTGGCCTCACAAGACGAACCAGATTGGGGACCACAGATTAACAAGTCACAATAGTTTAGTGCTTTCAGTGTCACCTTCAAAGCGGTGGTTTTTATGTGGCTCAGTCAAGGTGGCTTGAAATTGTATCTTCCTTTGACATCTTAGAAGAAGGTGACATGGCTTCCTCACCACCTACACTTAAGGTCTTTGTTACTGCAGTTTGCAAGCCGTTCATTCCACTTGTCCAGTAAGTCTTGAAGGACTTCTTAACGACTAAGTGAGCTGTCACATCTGCTGCGTGTAGTCTGGAGAGGACACGGGGAACAGCAGCGTTTTCTGGGAGGGCGCCCTGGCACCAGCGATGTGAGCCTTTGCACGTGGGTTAACTAAAGGGTTAGTTGACTCACGGGTTAATTAGGTGAGAAGTGGCTTCGGAGCAGAGCAGCCGCAGGAAGGTGAGGTTTGCAGCGTGGCAGTCAATAAGCACGGAGATATTTTCCTTTTTTTTTGAAAGGTGTGCAGATGTGAGGAAGACTTGTATAGAAAAGTCTCCAGCTTTCGTGGCAACTTAAACATAAAGTGTAAAAGTGGCCTCATCCTTTATGAGAGGCAGATTGACACATGTCAGCACTGAAGAGGGGTAGTTGATATTTCCTTTATTTTTTAATTGATGTAGCACTGAAGACAGTATTTCATTTGCCTTTTTTTATGACAACCACCAGCTTTGTCCCAGTGGGACCGACCAGCAGCCCCGCAGGGCTGGTGCCCCTTGTCATTCCTAGATTTGTTGGGTGATATCTTTTAAAAGATTAGACTGTGTTATTCCTCTGCTCAAAGTCCTTCCGGGGCTTTCCATCTCCCTTGGGGTAAAATCCAGAGGCCTCTGCCCCCTGCCAGGCCGTCGTGACCGACTTCCTCTCAGGCTGCGCGCTCACCGGCCTCCAGCCAGAGGCCCCTCCTGAAAAGCGCGGTGCTGCCTGGGCGCCTTTGGTCCCTGTTTCTCTCCGCCTTGATTTCTCTCTTCCCATGTGCAGCGTGTGTCAGTTCCTTCAGCTCCTTCGGGATTTTGCTCAAACCTCATTTATTTCTTGGGAGGCACGCTCCCAGAGCACCTCATCTAAAGCAGGGCTGTGCGTCGTTCTGTGTGACTTCAGTGCACTTTGTGTTGCGCGTGGTCGCTGCCACCCCCTGACGTCGTGTTATAATCTTTCTTTGTTGTGGTCTTGGTTCTTTGCACCACTAGGGTGTGAGTTCTGTGAAGGTGCAGACTTGGTCTACTTTGTTCCACTGTGATACCCCAGAGCGCCTGACCGTCTGGCTGAGGAGATTCTCAAATGTATACACATCTTATTGTTACATGCTACATACAATTAATAATATAAATATATAACTGCCTTAAATGTAAGTTCACTAACACAGTTGCTCCAGTGGGGAAAAACAACCAACAAATTCTGACTTCCTCTGTTGCTTCTCCAAATGAGTGTTTATTCTCTCTTCATTTCCATATTATTTTATTTCGTTTCTTTATCCAGATTTGGGGGTTATTATTAGATCATGGGGAGATAAGGAGATAAGATTATTCAACTCGTTCAGAAAATGATTCCTTCGTCATTTTTCAAGGCAAATGAGATGCTCCCTTGTTTTCAAAAATTTTTCAGGAGGATATTCTTGTGATTTAAGATAATTAATTAATAAGGTGTTAATTTCTAATACCCGAATAATTGGTGTTACAGAGTAAGCCTTTGTCTTCTTCCTCTGTGCTCGGCAAGGTTGCACAGAGCATGCCTTGAAGTAGACAGTGAAATAGTCCTGTGATCTTGAAAACATAGGTTGACAAGTTTCTTATAATTTCCTTCCTTCCTTCCTTCCTCCTTCCCTGCTTTCTCCTCCTTCTCCTTTTTCCCCTTCTCCCCTTCCCCCTCCTCCTCCCCCTCCATCATGCCCCCTTCTCTTTTAAACAGTATCTCCTGGAGAAAAGAGAAAAACAAGTGACTTGTCTTAATATCATTTCTGCATGAATTCATGGTAATTCAAAAATGTTCTGCTCTAATAGATCATCACCTTGAACTTCAGGAAGGGAAACATAGCAGCCTTCTAAAGGAGAGAGCAAACTTACATACTTTAAGATCACATTCTATTATCTCCACTTATATTTGAGGGACGACAGGTATGGAAAGCAGTGTGTTCAGCTCAGAGGGCATTTCCCCAGCTGTAAAGAGCACGGATAGGTATTCATACAGGTGCTGGATGTGCATTGTTATTAATCCTCACGATGTGCAGTCCGTGAGGCATTGTCCCCACTTTACAGATGAGGAAACTGTGGCTGGGAAGAGTTAAGTAACTTGGCTAATAGGACGTAAGTAGCAAGCAGCCAAGCTGGAGATGAGCAATTAGATTAGGACTTTGAAGTGTGAGCAGTCATTTGACATCACTTGTTTATAACTAACTTGCTGATTCCATCTGTTTTCTTTCCAAGGCCAACTGCAAGCAAATGCTTACTGTGAAAACCCAGATATAGTATTAATCGGCAACAAGGCAGACCTGCCAGACCAGAGGGAAGTCAGCGAACGGCAAGCCCGGGACCTGGCTGACAAGTACAGGTGAGCCAGCTCCGCGGAGGTGCCCTCTGACCTTGCACACTGCTGCTTGGTGAGGGCAGGGACACAGGACTGACACCGGGGGGACTCCCCTTGATTCAGGAACGACACGTGAATGAGAGGGGTCTTCCAGAGGAATGTGTGTGATGTCTTTAATGAGTTATTTAACAATAATAGCAGCTGATGCTTACAGGATGCTTATTACATGCTAGCAACTGTTCCTAGACTGTAACTCACCTCACCCTTCATGATCATATGCAGGGAGTCTGCGGTTACCCCACTTTTTCCATGAGGGATTGAGACGCAGATTAAGTGACAGGTGGAAGACCACATGGCTAGTAAGCAGCAGAGCTTGAACTCAGCCCAGGCAGCCTGAGATCAGAGCCCATGCTTCTCAACACGACACTCTTAACGCCTCTCAATTAATAGCTACAAAACTCTAAGGAACAGTACCTGATCTGGACACAGTATTGCAGTTGTTATCCTAAGTGAGCTTAAATGGCAGGTGAAAAAAATGCAAATACTTCATGCGATTGTAAATTGACCTCCAAAGTCAGAAATTGTCATTCTTTTTAAAATTTAAGCATTTTTGCCAAACCTGCCAATTTTTTTTACTGCAGGATTCTCCTTGAAAGCTTTAAAAATGTACATACCTTCTTGAAACTTTGAATTCCAAATAAACATAGACTGTATTCATGTTAATATCCTATTCAGTGCATGCTGAATTTCTAAATCAGACTTCGATGACTGATTGGAGGCAAGTCATATTTTTATGGTAATAGTGATCACTGGTTTCAGCATTTTTACCCTCTTCAGTTTTTTAAAATCAGGATGATGCCTTGGCTTCAAGTCCATGATCACCTCCTGTATCAGTTTCCTTGCCCACAAAACGGGTTACCCCCACGCTAGAAAGCAGCTCACCAGTTTTCACGCACTAAGGAAAAACAAGGATGTTTTCCAACTCATTTTGCTAACAGCAAAACCCGTGATTATTTCACAGTCTCTCAGCCAGCCATGTTTTCGCACATGTGACTCATTGGCACATCTTGTTGTATCTTCTGTGGTTTCTTCCTTTCAAAAATGTTTGTCATCTCTTCCATGCTAGCATACCCTATTTTGAAACAAGTGCAGCGACTGGCCAGAATGTGGAGAAAGCTGTGGAAACCCTTCTGGACTTAATAATGAAACGGATGGAACAATGTGTTGAGAAGACCCAAGTCCCCGACACTGTCAATGGTGGAAGCTCTGGGAAGCTGGATGGGGAGAAGCCAGCAGAGAAGAAATGTGCCTGCTAGACTCTGCCTACGAACTGATCATCCAGAACCCCGTGCAAACATCACTTCCAAAAACAGCGAAACACCACACAATTGTTGTTGAGTAGACGACGCATCATGGCATGCCTTTCTTTTCCTGCCTGAACATCTATTTTAAAAAAGTGGACTAGTCAACAGTTTTCAAAAGAATTGACCAGTTGTCCATGAGGCCCCTCCAAACAAGAGTAGAGATTTCCCATATGATCAGACCATCATGGATGCTCAACCTGGTTTTCTTCCAACAAAAATGGGATATAAGAGAGCATACAGGAAGAAATACCAGTGAGTTTTGAATCAGAACAAATTACCTTGTCACACTGGGGACAAGGATAGGCTTCTAAAGGGGGAACATGGAAAGATGATTTTTTTTTTAAAAAAGGTTGGATTTCCTTCTTAGATAGAATCTGATGCGTACTTTCAGGTTTGCACTGGGGAAAACGTATTAGCTAAAAATGCATACACGATAAAGAATTCTATGTGGTTCACCAAGAATGGCATTGTTATGTACTCCCTGTAAGCTGTGCTGGAATGACTACATTACTGATAAGGTTATGAGAGGATGAATGTCAGACTTCTGAGCAAATGTAGGAGACTGTGTAATAATACCACTTGCATATTCTTAATAAATGGCAGGTAGACATGAGTAGGACTATGAATGACAGAGGACAAGAGACATGCCCTGGGAGAAGGTATGGGAACATGGCATTTGGACAACTGAAATTGAATGTGCCTGTTACAGATGTCTGGGAGAGTTCCTTAGCCAAATTTCATGCAAGCCAATTAGAAGCTGACATTATCAGTTGGGACTGAGAGAGTCTCCAGAGGCTTCCAATTCAAACAAAATTTTAGAAACGAGTATAATATTCAGCTTCACATTTCATATTTGTTAGCAAATCATGATAAACAGTCACAAGGAGAAGCGAGGTTGCTGCTTATTAAACATTGCTTTAAAAATACACTCAAGAAAAACTATTTAGCCTTAATTTTTTTTAGTTAAAATATGCTGGTGATATGAAATAAAAAGTGACTGTTAATTATAGATGTCTTCTTAATTTACAAAGTACTGGAAACTCTAAATCACATTTCTTCCCTCCAGTCCATACCCAGCCCTGGCTTTGACTCAATTGTAGAAATACAGGTGTGTCACTTTGTAGATCAATAACTGCAGAAGAATGCTGGATCAATTTTATGGTCACTCTGAATTCTCATGTCATTCATCGCAAAAAAATTTGATGATACCTCATGCCATATTACAGTATATTTAGCACCTGTTTTTATTTTGCCTGAGGCGGAATACGCATGGCTGAACTATATTTGGGGGTTGGCAAGGATGGAGCTGTATCTTAGCTCCCCAAAAATTTGGTTGCTTAACTTTTTACATAAAGCTACCTTTTCTTTCCAAAAATGATCACAGAAATATTTTCCATCAGCCTATCCTTACTGTATCTAAACTAATATTACATTCAGTTTTTAATTTTAGTTTCTGATAAACATGTCACTCCTATTAAACTATTATTTAAGTTTTCCAGTCAGTCATCGATGATAAAGGCATTGAACTTTAAGTTTTCTCTTTTTATTACGAGCATATGATTTTTCTCCAGGATAATTCCTCTTCTTATAAAATTTTGCCAATTAAACTTCACTTTTCTATACCCTCTACAGGTTTTTTTGATTAAGTTACAAACATCGGGAACTCTCAGTCCCAGTCCCCTGCCTTTAACCTCTCTCTACCAAAATCTGTCTCGTATAAATCAGTTTTAGGAACACAGATCCAAGGGATTATCTAATCATAAGACCCAGAAATGTGCCATGAATCAAGGTGATGTGGAATCCTTGATGGAGTGACCTCCTTGACAGATTAACAGATGTTCAGTGTTAACTGTCCAGTTCCTCTGGTTTGTGCAGCGTGATGCCAGCCTCTAAGATTGCTCATGACTGGTTATCCCCTCCCGTGATGTTTTTCTCTGTGATGCTGTTCATGACCTCAGTGCCTGTGCCAAGAGGATAGAAGGCTATTAGCTAACATCAAAGATGTTTCTTCTGAAAGAAATATGAGCAAAAACAAGGTAACCCTTGACATGGCAAAATTTGGTGAACTTTTGTGGTCATTGTATCAATTTCTTCTTTGGGTTCAAGTTGTGATGTCCCCTGTGTTTCCATCATAGGGGATATTTAGCCTTTCTAAAATCCAGAAAGCATTCTATTTTGGATACGTCTTTTTGTTTCCATTTATTTTCCAGTTATAGGATTGATTCACTTATGCCAAGATCCTGTCACTGTCCAATACTTAATGAGCATTGATTCAGGGACTATTTTAAGATCATTATTTGATAGCAGAGCAGGAAGCCGAGGGTGACGGTGCCCATAATTATAGAACTGTTCCTATAAAAATAATGGTTACTGGGTAATAATCTAGGGGAGTGGAATTTAAAACAGACAAGAAAATTAAAATAGTATCCTACTTATAAATACTTGATCTAAAAAAATTTTTCTCTGTCAAGTTTGACATAAGACCCCAAATTCTATGTAACCATGACTAGAAATCTCTTTTCATTATTTCAGAATTCCGTATAATTAATTTTACAATTTCAAATTAATTCAGGGCCAAGAAGGTTATAGACCATTTTTAAAGAATTGTATATGCCATTTAACACACCACAGCATGTATTACTTATTAAGTCCTAAATGCTTTAATAAAACATATTGTATTTTGGATAATGATTTAAAATGTACGCAAAATTCCTTTCTGATACAGAAAGCATTTCTGGAGCATTTACAGCAGTCTGATGTTTACATTGCTTTAACATAGTGCCTCAGATATTCCGTGACCAAATTTGTCTCCATCCACATAGCTCTTCTCCAATAACACCATGTCAGTGTCACAGACACTAATGCAGCTCCATGTATTCTGATGTCTTCAGCCAGGGGTAGAAGGATGTTATGCAAATCTGGAGATTATTACCATCATCTCCTGGTCCCCTGACTCACTTCTTGTGAAGTGGACATTATTTGAGACTCTAACTGTGATTAAGTATAAGGGTACCTTTCAATGTAAAAAAAAAAAGTCTTTTGAAAAATGTATCAAAAATAGTTGAGAGAACATGTCTGTCTTGGTGTGATGAGGGTACCAAGTCACAAACAGGCAGAGAAAATGCTAAATGCTGGGAATTGAGCTTGCAGATCTCTACATAAGGGTTTTAAAATTCTTCGGCCATTGCTCTAGCCAGTTTTCTATCATTCCCAGATTATCAGCTATCACACTGCAAAAAATTCAAAACCAGCATTTTCTAAAGTAAATATTTGATCTGTTGTTTTTAACCAGGCAGGCAGTGTTATGTATCAGGGCGTGTCTTTATTATGCTTCTAGTGTAAGTTACCCTCTGCCAATCTGCATAGGCAGGAGAAACTGGGCAAGAGTTTTAATCAGCCCTTTCTTGTCTCCTTTATAAGAGAGAGAAGCTTGATCAGGGAGAATGACTGGCTACATTAAAAGCTAATTTAGTAACATCCGAACTATTCTTTAAACTGTAAATTTTGTCCACCGGGAATCAACAACTTTGATGAAGCACACATATGTCCTCACCAATGGGGTGTTGCATCAGTTAGACGGAGAAGCAGCAGGTGTAAGAGATACGGTGTGTAACTAGGTGTAGAATAGAACCTGGAACCTTGTGTCTGTGAAACAGGATTGTTCACTGTTCTGTGTCTGTTCACTTAAAAAAAAGGGGGGGGGTACATATGATCTGTTCTTTGTGTAGTGCACTAAAATTTTGAGGGAGAATTCTCATCCATAAAGAATTTTGGAGTTTAAAACTCAAACTGTAAAGACATAATATTGATGTTTCTGGTTTCCTAAGATACTTACTCTTTTAAAGGAAGATCTGAGAGCTATGTTAGCCAAAGTAATAGAACAATTATCTTTCACCTTCTAGTACAAAGCTTTAACGTATTAAAAGAAGTCTATTTGAATGTTTTAGGGAAAGCTTTATCATTTTTCAGGATGCTGCCTATATTTGAAAAGGTTGTCTAAGAATTCACCAAAAGCTATATTTTCTTCTTGATCTTTGACCAAGATGATATTAGCTTCTCCTGGGGAGCGTGCTAAGCTCTTCAACATGGAAAACAGATACAGGATATTATCTGGGCTGCCTGTTGTCTCCATGCTGCGTGAATCTATGAAGATACTTGTCGCGTAAAGTAGGACCGGTAACATGCAGTGTTAGATGAACAGGGAATTTTATAAACTTATTGCCTTAAGAGTTCTTGGGTGGAGACCCAACCATGATGACATTGTTGAGCAAGAGCTATAAAGAGAGATGAGAGTTTAAAGTTGTCTCAGTAGAGTTCCTAACTCTGGCAAACACAGAGAAGACCATACTTACAAGGTTGACTTTTAGGTAGGAAAAAAAAAACAAGAAACATTAACAGAAAGAGTTTTGGAACTAGATCTGTGACAAATATTTATCCATTATTTTTATCTATCAATTAGAGATTTATGCCCTTAGAACTAAGCTAATAAAAATATTTAAACACCACGTTTCATTTTTGGCATCGAAATTTGAAAAATTTAGAAACATTTAATTTTCTCTACCTGAATCTAATTTTCTCATAAATTGCACTTTGATTAATTTTTCTAGAAGTAGCATCACAAAGATGCCTGTCTGCAGAGCTCTTTTTATTAACAGTCTATGGTTGAGATATTGTCATATTTAGAGAGAATAACAAACAAACAAAAACGTTCGTACCCAAATAATGTGGTTATTTAAAAGGTTGTCATCTTCTAAAGGAAAAGAAAAAACAAAAAACAGCTACAAAGGAACCATCTTTGAATGGAGCCATTTAAATTTGATTCCCAGCTCCTTTTCTTCCCAACAGGTCCTGGAAGTCACAGCGAATATCCCTCAGCTGACTTAGCCTTTAAAGATCATTAGCAATGTCTGTCGGAGCCAGCATGTCTGTCCTAACCTGATAGGTCCTTGTGTCTGTTGGCTCATCACAGCAGTCTGTCGCAGCAAAGTAATAACATATGCTTATCCTTACTCTTCTGTTCCGCGGGTTATTTTTTCAAATGCTCTCGGAGAGGAAACCTATTATTCCAGAAAGGAAAGTGGCCAGAAAGAACAATTTGGGGGCCATGGATGTGTCAGTAAATACGACTTCTCGTATGAGTCTTATAAACCCTAAGTGCCTCGCAGGGTTCATGTCAGGCCCCCAGGAGACCAGATGGAGGAAACTGGTTTGGAAATTATGTTCCATTTCATAAACAGACACTATTATCCTAAGGTAAGAATAATAAAATATCATAGTCATAATTTCACAACCTCTGTAAAAAGAAGCATCGTAGCAGGGACAGGACATTAATTTTAGTAGGTATTGGACACTTTAAACGGGTAATCGACTGGCGGTCATTGTGTTTAACTGAAAATGTTTAATATATCTCAAATTATTTTAAAAAATATGAGTTCTCTTTCATTTTGTCTAACATCTGGAGTTTCTTTGAAGGAGCCCAATTGCATTCTAGACAGGGTATTACAATTTGGTCAAAATCTTCCTTGTATCAATAGGGCTTTTGTGCCCATAACCTTGTAAAAGATACTGACTGTATCTGAAATTATTTGAGGAAAGTAAATATCCTGCTTAATGTGTTACAAGTAGACAACGTTCTGACATAACACTGAAGTGCTTTACTGTCTCCCAATGATCTACCTTTACGTGACATTACCCGCACTTTTAGGCTAAGCACATGTGACTGTTCTGTCTGTCATTGCCACAGCTCTCTGTTTTGTCTAGTGCTATGAATGTAAATTAAAACCTTAAACATGGAGTTTTTATCCTCTGTGCCCCTGAATAGACTTGAGGGGTCTGACAAACACTGTTAGGTCATTATCTTGTTGTACCAAAGTTCTAGTAACTTCAGAAATCATAGCATCCAATGATTTTGTGGTGTCTGGGTTTGAATACTATGGCTGAGAACTGTATTCAGTGATTGTTTCTGCACACTTTTCAAATAAAAATGCATTTTTACCAGTTACTTTGTGTACTCAAAGCAACCTTGTTTCTGCGCTGAAGGTGAACGTATGGTGGATGGGGAACTTGAAATCAGTATCAGTATGGAAATGGTGTCGCATTAAACGTGATGTCCATTAGGAACTAGGAAAGAAGTGATTTGTACTTGGCCAAGTGATTGTTTTTATCCATCTCTCTAAACTTCCTAATTTACTGTATGTTCAAAGACTGGGATTTGCAAGGGAACTTCTCTAATAATTTTAAGTGATAGGTTTATAAAATCAGCAGTTAACAAGTTGAAGTGTTCTATGGTACGTAAGTGTCTCAATGTATTGCGACCTATTTCTTCTTCATTATAAAACGCTGAGGCAGGTGGTTCTCTCTCTCTTAGGCACAGACTGGTGAAAGGACCGATGTGCAAGGCCAGTGCAAGACCACAGCTGTACAGCTTCCTTTTAAAGGTTTGTTTGCAAAAGCTGCCTTGTTCCCAGAGTTGTTCTGCCTCCACATGTTACTCAGATAGGCTTTGCCAAGATGATGATGAGCTTTTAATTTAAAGATAAGCAACTCTTCCACTGCAAGCAGATCAAGTTTGGCACAATTCTCTCAACTTTATCCCTGGCAGGTAATGCTGTTGCACACAGGCAGAATCTTTCGCCCCCGTGGGTTCATCGTAAATAATTCAAGATAAGTCATTAGAGAGAGGAGGGTATATAGCTCAGTGGTAGAGCACATGCTTAGCATGCATGAGGTCCTGGGTTCAATCCCCAGTACCTCCACTAAAATAAATTAAAACCTAATTTACGATAGCCAAGACATGGAAACAACCTAAATGTGCATCGACACATGACTGGATGAAGAAGTTGTGGTATATTAATACAATAGAATACTACCCAGCCATAAATAATAATAAAATAATGCCATTTGCAGCAACATGGATGGACCTGGAAATTGTCATTCTACTGAAGTAAGCCAGAAAGAAAGAAAAGTACCATATGATATCACTTATAAGTGGAATCTAAAACAAAAAGACAAACAAACTTATTTACAAAACAGAAGCAGACTCACAGAGATATAGAAAGCAAACTTATGTTTACCAGGGGGGAAAAGGGGTGGGAAGGGATCAATTGGGAGTTCAAGATTTGCAGATCCTAAACTAATATAATAAAATAGATGAACAACAAGTTCATACTGTGTAGCACAGGGACGTATAGTCAATATCATGTAGTAACATGGTGCAAAAGAATATGAAAATGAATATTTGTATGTTCATGTGTGACTGAAGCATTATGCTGTACACCAGAAATTGACACCTTGTAAACTTGACTATACTTCATTAAAAATATATATATATATACAAAAAACTCTAATTACCACCCCCCAAAAAAGACTGATTTAAAAAATAAGTAAATAAATAATAAAATAAAAAATAGATTAAAAAAAGATAAAGTCATTAGAGGCTTGCTTTTCCTAATGGTTTTATAGGATTTTAAAATAGTCATAACATGCCCCCACATTGAGGAAAAAATACCACTTATTCACACACATACAGACGTATCTCAGAGATGTTGTAGGTTGGGTTCCAGAGCATCACAGTAAGAATATCACAACAAAGTGAGTCACACGAATTTTTTTGGTTTCCCAGTGCATAGAAAAGTTATGTTTACACTATACTGTAGCCTGGTAAGTTTGCAACAGCATTATGCCTTTAAAAAGAAAGCAATGTACATACTTTAATTTAAAAGTACTTTATGCTAAAAATGCTAACCATCACCTGGCAATGCAGGGTTGCCACACGCTTTCAATTTGTAAAAAACAGTATCTGTGAAGCACGATAGAAAGAGGTATGCCTGTATGCTCTTCCTTATTTTAAACAGTTAGTCCTCTGTATCTGCAGGTTGCTCATCCACGATTGGTTGAATCCTAGGATGCAGATCCCGTGGATGCAGAGGGCCAGCTGTGCTCCGCCATTTTACATACAGGACCTGCGCATCCTCATGAATTTGGTATCTGAGGGGGCTCCTGGAGCCAATACCCTGTGGATACTGAGGGATGACTTTACGTAAAAACTGCTATCAAAAAGTCGAACTTGACAACCTTAACTAGTCCCTTCAGCAAAAATTCTGCCCCCCAAAAAAAGAAATCCAGTTTTTTTTTAAAGTTTAAAGCAAAATTCATCTTCCATCATAGGAAAGCAACTGTTTCTTTATCCACTTAGTAAGCTTTGAAGAAAGAGTTCCTTTCCTTGATTATATATTTGTTTGCTTTTCTGAAAGGTCATCCTCCTGCAAAGCTATCGATGCATATATTAAATACAATATAATAAATTCCATTAAATATTGGCATCGAGCCATTTTAATACATAAGTTTAGACTGTTTCAAGAAATAAAGAAGTCCCACAGAGGAGTGGTCTTTCTCGTTCCAATCTTCAGCCAGCCCGCTCATCTCCGTAGCCTAACCAGCATCACGTAGGGGGTTGTGCCTTCAGTCTTCAGTTCACTGTAGAAAAGACCACACAGTCACCAACATCGAGCACACACAACGTTGTCCATACAGTTGCTCTACCACCAGCACCACCATCTCCGCCACCGCTGTACTGCCAAGTCTGAACTAGTGGCTTTAACCTAAGCGATGATGGTTAATTGATTGATTCTAATTCCCCAAGAGACACAGTAGAAGCACAGCACAGTTGGGAAGCCTTAACCTTATGCATCTGGTTGTAAAAGGATGGGGGTGAGCAAACGTGAGGGGAAGTGGGAGACAGGAAAACCTGTGTCTGCCATGCTCGTCAGTGAGGACCTGCGCCGGAGGGACTCGGAGACGGGAAACAGAAACCAGCTGTCGAGTCAGGATGCTTTAGTTCTGTGGGTTTCTCATAGCCTAAACTTCTCTTTTCACTGTGTGAGTCTAGTAGTTAAATATATAATATATTTAAATACACACACACACACACACACACATATTACACACATATCTGTGTGTTTCATTGTTGCTGTTTCCTAACAATCTGACCCCTAATGTCCAGTGAATCATTTCTTTTGTTTTCAACTCAAGAAACACCTATGTTCTAATGCTTAAGAAAAAAAAAACTTGGTTTTTTTGTGCTGAGAGATAGCATAGAACTATAGTTTATGAATGATTAAAGAGATTTGACAAGATTAACTTTTTAATGTATGTGAACCCTTTATTTCTCTGCATTAATGGCTACTTTTACACTCCAATTCCTCTTTAGAGTCATAATTCCATTGTATGTTGGTAAATCCAGGCTTACCTCACCACACTCCCACCTGCATTCTCAAACCGTCAACTGGCTGGATTTCATTTTGGAAACAATGAGATCCATCATTTTAGATAGATCATGACTATAAGAATTTCTATCCAAAATCAAAATACAAAGGGCATATTTCAGACCGGCTTCCCTATGTTGATGAGATTTTCCCATTTGACTTTTCCCAAGTCATGGGGAGGATAAAAGCTTTTAAAACTACCTTTGTTAATTAACCACAGCTAAAGAACTGGCCGAGAAGTCGTTCTTTCAAACACACCCACTCTGTGCCAGCCAGAGTCTCAGCATTCAGTGCTGGAGTCAATGCAATATGGAGACCACCTGCTGGTCCCTCCTCGACGTCACTCTGGCTCCATTCCCTCCGAGGTCAAAGCAGCTGAGGCTGGCCATGATGCCTCACTGCGCCAAGTGGGTGTGTCTGATAAGGGAGCAAAAAATTGACTATCGTCCCTTCCCTTGGAAAGTCATGCTGGCCTTTCTATTTATTCTAAACTCTCCATCTCTTCCCCCACTGAAGTGATGCCTACTCTCACTGCTTCTGAAATCTGGGCCTTCCACTTCCTCCTTTAATACTTCTGGAGTTTAATGTCTTTTCTGTGTTAGACACTGCAGGGCTACTGGCCAAAAAGTTAATAACTGAGCATCTGGGGGCCCAACGATTTTAGAAAACTTGATTCATAATGGCTTCATCTTTGGTCTCTAATTACATATATCATTAGCAAAGGGAAGCACGGTTGCAGGGTGGTTTGAAGAGGGAGCTGCCTGAGTTCCCAGACTGATGTTAATCACAGGGGCCTGATTCTCCAGTCAGGCCCTGTGCAGAAGAGAATTTCAGAAAATGGGTTTCTGCCCTAGAGAGACCAGGCTGGGAAATTCAAAAGCTGTTAGAACAGGAAGTTTTTAATCACTTTCTAAATGATTCATGTAATTACAGACTATGTTTTCTTTTAAGTGATAATTTCATAGAGTATTATGGAAATGAGATTTGAGCCCAGAAGTCTTTTTTTTTTTAACAAACCTGTCACTTCAGATTCTGTCAATGTTAGAAAGCGATTTGATGGTTTCAACCACCGTTTCCATCACTTTAGGGGTCATTGTCATTGCTTCCTTCATTCATTATTGAGTAGTTACTGAAGACGTCCTTAACAATGCAGGAAATAAAATGAAAAACAAGGAACTGGTCCTGTCCTCCTGACATTTACAATCTACTTGATTTGAGATACAGACATGGAAATTTAAATAAATACACACGATTTATGATTAAAATGCCCATCAGTGGCACAGAAAATATGAGCAACAGAGGAACAAGGACAATAGGGGAGATAATCTGAACTGTTTGAAGTGTTGAAGCCAAGACTGGGCTTGTTCTTATGGCAAAGAAGAGGGGAAAAGATATCTAAATTTATTCATTCATTTATTCAAGTAAGTATTCATACATCGGGCTTCAAGGGTTCAGTGGTGAACGAGATGAATACAGTCCCCACTCTCAAAGAACCGGGAGACAGACAGTAAACAAACGATTACATAAGTATCCATCCACAGGGTTCTTTCTCAAGTGGGATGAATGTCAAACGTGTTCAGCAGGGATGGTGAAGGCAGCCTCAATTCATTGAAGCCTCAGTTTCTTCATCTCTACACGAATGGCAAATGATACATGCCCTGCCTATCATATATACGTTGTTGGAAGAAAGACCTTACCTTGTAGAGACAGCCTTAGATACCTTGGTCCTGGGAGTTTCAGACCAAATTGCCACCTTGGTTTTTAGTTCTTTGTTCTAAAATAGAAAAACAAAAACAAAAACAACAACAAAAAAAAAACGTGTGCAGAGATCACATGGCTAGCACACTTATTAGCCACATGCTTGGTGTTTCTGGTCAACCACCACCTACATCACTCCTTAGCCAGTCACTCTGTTAGAACACAGGATATAGCCAGGTGAGCGTCCCTAAATATTATCTCTGAAAACACAAGCGCATCTTAAGAAACGCATAATTTACCAAGAGATTAAAGTTTAGTATTCTGATTTAGCCTCTGAAACTCAACAGCTGAACTCTCTATGTTTTGTTTTACAGTTTCCTTTATATAGACAGATGCAAAGAACTTCATGAAAGGACTTTATTAAAGAACCTTTTTAAAGACTCCCACGATATTGATTACACATTTGTCTTTCTTGTGCAATCTCTTGATTTTAAACTCCATGAAAATAAGCACCATCTGTTCTTTTGGTTCACGGCATCCTTAGCCTCAATTCATTGAAGCCTCAGTTTCTTCATCTCTACACGAATGGCAAATGATACATGCCCTGCCTATCATATATACGTTGTTGGAAGAAAGATATATGATCATATTTTAAATCTGGAAGCACTCTTGTAATTCTGGGGGACAATGCAATGGCCCATAACAGGAAGGATAATCGTTTAGGTTTTCAGATATAAATCCTAGCATAACCGCTTACTAGCTGTGTGACTTCCTTTAGGTTCCTTAGCCTCTCTGTGCCTACTTCCCCATCTGTATAATAGATATGGTCACAGTCCCTCCTTCACATGTTCTGAAATGAGATAAAAATACGTAAACTCCTCAACTCGGTGTCTGACATAGATTTTAAGACTTAAAGGTAGTTGGTTATGATTTTCTAGTCCGAGGACCATTATTGTAAATAAAAACTGGGTCCCAAAGAGTTTAAGTGCCCGATATCTTGTTCACGGCAGAACTCAGATTCAAAGTCAGGTCCTCCCAGTCCAGAGCCAATACTTTCTCAACGATGCAGCCAAGCCAAACAGTTTCTTTTCACACATTTGAAAAATGAGACTTCCCAGGGAAGAATCAAGGTTGAGTTGCCAGTTGGCCACCCTGGCAGGTCAGAGGTCTTTTAAGGATACATCTGTACAGAGGGCCTAGGATTAAAAAGTTAATTGCGTGGGAGGATGGCAAAGGGAGCTATAACTTTCAAAGAACAGCAACACACCAGCTCCATTCCCTTTTAGGGAGCTAAGGATTTAGAGAGTCATGTAACTGAAGTTTAAATGATATTTACTAAGACTTCATCTTGTTTGGAATAAGCCAACATCAAAATGCATGGTTTTGGGAAATAGACACTAAAATTTTGATGGAAGCAAGAGAGTTAATAATTCTGAGTGCCTAGCAAATGCCAAGATTTTTGTCTGATGTTTTCCATACTTTCTTTGATATAAACTCAGCTCCGAGGAGTAACTTTCATGGTTACGCATGTTAAAGAAATAAGGCTGGCAAAACTCAAACTGGTTAGGTGGCTCGACTCTGAGAACCCACAGACAGTACCTGCAGCATGGGTGTACAAACGTGCAGGCTTTACGCAGGCCTGCCTGACTCCCCGTCTCATGCTCTTTTCTCTGCAAAATAACATTTTGCAGAGGAATTAGCCTAGCTTCCTTATATAACAAATAAGTAAATGGTGAATACCAGGAGATAAAGGGGTTCAGGGATTTCTGAAAGGATTCTAGGTATGATACATAGGAAAGAGAAGAAAGCAGACTGTCAGGGAATTAATCAACAAGGGATCTAGTACCCCAAACACCCAGCCACGCCTCCCCACATCCAGTTAGTCCCCTTCAGGTCTGCAGCATCAAGCCAGGAGCAGAGGAAATGTGAGGCAGCACAAGACAGCATGGCACCTTGCCTTTGAGTACACAGGATGCAGAGTGTGGTGGAGGGGATAAAACATGTGCCATTCAATAATCAGTCAGTCAATCAGTGCCATTCAAGGGATGCCATAAGGCAGCCTGTAATTCCTTACTACATAAAAGGTATCAACAGAAAACAGCGTGACTAGAATAATTTATGACATCATCCCACACAAGGAGGTTTAACCTGGACCTTGAAGACAAGGTGACGTGGGCTAGGCAGAAAAAAGGGAGAGAAAAAAGATGAAAGCATAGTCTTCCAGTATGAGATCCTAGAATCGACAATCTCCACATCACCTGGGAACTTACTGGAACTACAAACCCTCAATTCCCAACCAACCCATCGAATCAGAAACCGGAGGTGGCCACATGATGGGTTTTAAGAGGGTCATTAGAGGATTCTGATGTCTGCTCCAGTTGGAGAACCATTGGACTGACGGAGTGATTTTCCACTTTGGTTGTATATTGGAAGTTCCTGGGAGATTTAAAATCTATTGATGCCTGCATCCTACCCTGAAAAATTCTGTTTAATTTAGTTGTAGTTTGGGTTTAGAGGAGTTTTTAAAACTCCGTCGGTGATTCTAATGTGCAGCTAAGATGAAGAACCACTGGACTAAGGAAAGCCAAGACCAGGTGGGAATTTTGTCCCTTCTTATCCCACAGCATCTACACAGAATGATAACTGAAAGTCTTCACACATGAATCATTCCACTGTGATATTTCAAGAGTTAAGCGCTTACGTCTCACCTGGGAAATGTGCTTCAGATTTGACAAACTGATGCTAAAGATGGTCCTTGTGTAATGGAGTTAAATGGAATATACACTTCAAACAAGTGCGGGCATGTATCACAGGCCAAGTTCATGGCTGAGAAAATCTCCTCTCTCTACAGCACTTTACAAGATATGAAGCAACTTGAAACACAGTATCAAGATGACAACAAGCATTGGAATAAAAATATTCCTGTGGCTGGAGAAGTATGTAGAAGCTATGTGGATTTTTTCCAAAATAAACTCCTGCTTTCTCAACTGGCTGCACAAAAGCATGAGTTATCACGTTAGACAGTCTTTATTTTCGTATATTTCAACCTCTGTGATGATTTATTTCACCTACTAGACTTAGGTGTTTATTTTTAATTCACGGGCTTTTGTATGCTTTCCTTTCACTAGAACAGCAAAAGGCATGAGTTTTATTACATCATTAGTTTGCAAAACAACATCACTGACCAGAATACGTCTGCCATTATTAGGACTATCCAAGGATAGTTCATTGACACGGTCTTCCAAAAGAACCTAATTTCTGCATTTTTAAACTTCCAGCAACACGCTCTTGGAAGTAAATTCAATTTTAGGGATGATGGTGATAACATAAAGTAGGATACTCTTCAAAGTCTAGAAAATGGAGCAATTTCTGAAGATGCATTTCCACATGAGTGTGTCATTAGTGGAGAAGCTAAGAAGGCAAGAAATGTGAGAGGAATTCTGGAGCTGTGAATTAAGATGATGAAAGATATGCCAGAGTAGAAAGAAGAGTAAATAATTTTGGCAGAGTCAAGCAGAAATTTCCTGGTGATATTTAAAAGAGATTTTAAAATTCTTTAAGATTTTTTTAAAAAGAACAGAATCATCTGAGTGAATTTTAGCCACCCTGCAGCGGTGAGAAAAAAACCCCTGCTAGGATAGAAAAGAATATACAGAAAAAAAGGATTTGTTTCCATGACTCAAAAAAGTAGAAATTAGGGGGAAAAAATTAATGTAATAACTGTGACAATGGCTAAAATACATATAAATGGTCTTGCAAATTTAGCGTTATAACTTAATTTCTAAATACACATTCTAAATATATAGAACTATGTCACATCTGAATATACATATATACATATGTGCATAGTCACACACCTGTGTATATACACATGCACACACACTTATTCAATCACCCAGATAAGTAGATATCGTACAAGGAAAAGCATGTGCTTCAGATCCAGAAGACTCAGTGCAACTGAGTGATTTTGAACAAGTGTCTAAACTTCTCTGAATTTCAGTTTCGTCTTTTACGGAATATAGTAAATAATGACTTTCTCCCAGGGTAGCTTTGAGGGTTAAACAAAATTTTGTGGCATGCCTAAAAAGAAACAGGTGCTTTTATTAGGGATGAGAGAAGTTCACTGTCTGTATGGTTTAGAAAGTTGATGTGTTTAAAAGGGTTGGTTGTTCAGCTCTGGTGGCCATTTTTCATGAATGGAACTGGCTCACACTGTTACTTCGAAATAGATAATGGTCTTAAATTTGTAGTGCAAGATAGTATACCCTGGCACATGTCATCCCGGCTTAAGATCTTCATAATGAACCACTGACCAGGACTAGACTAGAGACAGGCTCATTCTGGCTCCAGCGCTCACTCAATTCAAGTACCTGGTCAAACATCGCAGGCTCCAAGGTGCTCTTCCCGACCCCCATCACTTCCTAACTGTCACATCGTTCTGCTCTTCTCTGAGCAGTTATCCTTCCCTAATTAAATTGTATATTTGCTTGTTTACGTATTTATTGTCTGTATCATCAATTAAAATAAAGCTGGATGAGGTCAGGACAGACTGTCCGGTTCCTACCACATACCTACCACTTAGACCATTTCCTCGCCCATCATAAACACACAATACTAGTTGCTGAATAGATGAATGTGGCTTGGACGGGCTTTTTAAAGCTGAAATGGGCATTGTAACACTCCCTGCAGTGAAGGAAAAGATTTATCTACTGAAGATGATAAATTTTGAGACCCTAAAGCCATTCATCAGATTCTGCTATGATTTGAAGCCTTTTTTTTTAAATAAAAGGGAATGTTAGAAAACAGTGGCTTAAACCAGCTTCACACAGAGACTCTCTCAGGCAGTACTGAGAGGGGCCATCCCATCACCGTGGGCAGACTGCATCTGACCACAAAGTGTCCATGAGGGGAACACAGAACTGCTGCTTTCCCATGTCACACTGAGCGGCTCATCAGCAACTATTTGCTGAATTTGGGGATATGAAAGCAGTATAGTGGGAGGCAATACATTGTGCTGGTCTAACGATTATACCAACAGGCTGACTGGCTAATGCGATGCATGGGTTAAGCGGCCAGTTTACTAGGACAATGAAAGTTGCTTTGGGGATGATATAAATAAGGAGACACAACTAAAGGACATAAGATAGAATCAGAAGCAGTAGCACCATGGATACCCTGATTCTGATGAGGGCTGGCACGTAAGTAGATATGACCAGAGCCCAGAACCATGATAGAGTGAAAGATCAGAGAAAGACAACAATCTTTCCAATTAAACTGTACTACAGATATACAAGTAAAGCAGTCGGAGGGGAAGGGCATAGCTCAAGCGGTAGAGCGCATGCTTAGCATACACAAGGTCCTGGGTTCAATCCCCAGTACCTCCTCTAAAAATAAAAAAATAAATAAGTAAACCTAATTACCTCCCCCTCCCGCCCAAAATAAAATAAAATAGAGCAGGAGCCAAAATAGGCATTACACCACTGGAACAGATTTCCAACACCAAAATTGAGTCTCGGGAATATAGGCACCTCAAATCCATGAAGAAAGACCAGACTGCCCAGCAAAGTGAGACAACTAAGGCGTTAGACCCCCTACTTCACACCGGACCTCCGGAATTACAGATAAACTTGGATTTGTGTGAGATTCCCAGTTCAAAATGGAAATCTGAGCACATGTGTTTGTCATCTCTCCTTTCTTAGATTTCATTACAATGATAATAAAGGAAAGAGAAGGAAAGAGAACATCTCAGGACCTCAGGATGCGGGGGGCGGAGGGATGGGAAGAGGTGGCAGAGAAACCAAGACAGGTGACAGCAAACCCTGCTGCCTGGCTAGAGAGGACCTCACACAGGAGTGGCCCTGACCAAGCGTCTAGCTCAAGTCCACACGAGAAACATTACCGTGTCTCCCCAGTACAGCAAGTATTCTGGAAAACTTGGATGAACTTCTAACAATTATTTACTAATACTTAATCTTAATAATTTAACAATGTCATACAATTATATTTAATACTTAATATGCTTTAATAATTTTAAGTATTTAATTTAATTTAATAATAATTTAATATTAAATTTGTTCTATTATTTTCATAATTAATAACTATTTACTTTAATAATTATTAAGAGTATCTCCCCTGCAAAGCTATAATTCTTATGCTTAGAAAACGCACACACACTCACAAAAAAACACTCATACATACACACAGACACACATTCACACACAGACATACTCAGACATAGTGTCACACTGGCACACCATCCCACACAAGTGCACACACACACACAGAGGACACATTCATACACAGGCTCACAAATCGACTGAACACGCACACACTCACACTTGTATTCACACTGAAATATATGACAGATTCGCTCCTTACCTGAGCTTCCAGTATGTTAACTTTTTCTTTCAGATTTTCAATCCTTTTATCTTGGTCTTTTACATTATTTTTTAATTCTTCCATCTAAGAATTAGGAAACACAAATGGAAAAATCTTGTCAGATAATAGAGAATAGTTCCTTATGTCGGAAATTGTACAGGTTTCGGTGGTCAAATAATGTTTATCAAATAATCAAAATTAAATCCCAGGCATTTGCAGACTCAGCAGGCGACAGAAAATAGCAGGACAAACTGGCACCTGGGGACGAGAGCACACAGACGTTGCGATTAAACATTTCAATCTTTAGAAGATCTGTTTAAACCAAACTCAGCAGGATGCATCCTGTGGAAAGCACCACTGCCCTCCTTCCGGGTCTCAGCCACGTAACGTTTTCATCCTGCAGATGCAAGGCCACTGCCTGGCGTGGGAAAGCTCCCTGAGTCAGAGATCTGCTCAACCAGCAGCATATTAAGGTAAGCTGGCTTTTATCGCAAGAAACACGTCTGCCAAGAAGCACCGTGGAACTGGGGAAGTGGGGTGATGGAGCTCAGAATGGTGCAGGGAGGAAGGAAACACGTGGATTCTAAGGCCAACTCTGCCAACTACTGTGGGCCTCAGTTTTCTCATCTATAAAATGAGTACATGGGATGCCCCCTCCGTCTTCCCTGACTCTCCAGTGTCATGACTCAATTCCCTGGCCTTTTGGTGTGGTCCTAGCCAAGCAAGGACAAATGCTACATCTATGTCACGAAGGCATTTGAAAGGACTCCTTTTAGAAACAAACATTAGGTAGAGAATGAATGAAGGTCTGGTTTTAAGTCTAAAACCGATTCTAAAACCAGGTGAATATATATCTTGAAGTAACTGGGATGAGGATGCGATTCCCCATCCTTCTGGCTGCCTTCGCAGTTCCCTCCGCCCTTCCACTTGCCAGGCTGTTCCCAGCGAAGGGCCAGGCTACACCCCTGCGCTAACACACCCGCTATGTAAATAAACCATCCATGAGGTCATGGAAACAGATTACGTCTTCCTCAAGAAAGGGCGGAATCTCTTTATCTACAAAATCTTCTACAGAACACTGTACATTCTTTGGCTCAGAACACTTTAAAAAAATCACTGAAATATCTAAAAAGCCACCACAATTTCCCAAATATCTTCATTGAGAACACCCCAGGCGTTGGCATACAGACACAAGAGGACACTGAAAACAGCCACGTCACACAGGGACGAAAAAGCAGAGAAACACACTCGATTGATCTGACCTCCTGGATGATGCCGCGCAGGTGCTGGTGCTGGGAGTGAATCACGAACTGCAGATGAGAGATCTGCTCCTGGAGGAGGGCAATCTCCATTTGAAGATCCTGGCAACTGGAAACGCAAAAGGGAAACAAGAGGAGAGGATGTACTAATGCATCACGCAGCTACTTTTAAAGCTGCACCACCAGGCTCTGCTCACACACGGCTCTACCACTGGGCACGACGTGGGTGAGACACCCGGGGCCCCATCCGCCACGCAGGACACACTGAGGAGGACCAGCCGCGAAGCAGCCTCTGATTAGCTCGGATATGAACTCGCATGAGGGTATCAATTCATGTCAAAAGCTCCTCTCTGGTCACCTTTGACTCCCCTCCCTCCAACAGGCGGTTGAGTCAAGCTGCACTGAGCCGGTGAAGCACTGACATATCTAATCTGCCTCACCTACGCGCCCCCACAGACACAGCAGCCACCCGAATGCACAGATACAGGACAGCAGGGTCCGAACGCGGGGCCGGGGATGGAGAGTTCACATATATGTATCAGACACAAGCTTCCAGTGATACAGGGTTAGTATATGCTGTGGGTTGCCTGAGTTTGTCCCTTTTTTTGTTTTTTGGCTTTCTGCTTCTGGTAATTCTACTCCCTATAAATAAAAGCAAGGGGGAAAAAAGAATAAATTAGCTAATATTTTGAGTCCACATCAACCGAAGAAAGATGAGTGAAGCTTCAATGTAGATTATTCCTACTCTCCCAAAGCTCCATTTAGGTAACTGGAATTGATTATATAGCTTTTGACTATTTCTCTTCTTGCCAATATCATTAGAGTTTGAGGCAAAATGCCTTGTGACAAGATCACCAAGCTTGGGGACATTGTGACTTTGGAGTCACACCATCTTTCTAAGCCTCAGTATAACAGGTACAATAATCTCGACCTTTATAACATTACAAGATTATACAGTTCAGTGAAAGAGGTAAAGGGAATTGTGCTTTTGGAAAATGAGCTTTTTACAAAGTAATATATTATTTTAGTTTATTAAAGTTTTACAAGTAATAGCCAACATCCAATGCAATCTCAGTTCTGATTTTTATAGTCTCTACAAATACTATAAAAGTCATGGAAATTCATGTGGCACTACAGAACGTGTTCTTATTTTTAAAAAAGTCTCCGTTTTGTTGTACATCATGTACTAAAACATTGCTTCTCAAACTTAACGTGCACTAGAGGACCTTGTTAAATTATCAGGGATCTTGTTAAAATGCACATCCTGTTCTAACAGGCAGGGGAGGGCTTACGAGTCTGCATTTCCAACACGCTACAAGTGTTGCCAGTGATTTTGCTGGTCCATGGACCATGCTCTGAGCGCTCTGGGTATCACAGCACTAAACCACTAAGGTTGCCTTGGTAACATTTAATATAAAATATAGTCTTTCAAAGCCAAGTAATAGTCAGGCAACTTGCAATAGTTAAGACAGTCTTGATTTTTTTTCCCTCATTCAGTTTTGCATGAGAGAACTTTAGAAAGAGTTACTGTTTTACTGTAGAAAAATTAATTTCTACAAAACTGTAGAAATCCTTGCACAAGTACAAATAATGTATAATGATAACCATTACTACTTATTTATCCTATAGAATGAGATAATTTAGACTATAAAATATCACACAATTAGACAACACATATGTCACAAAATCTGTGTAAAATGTAGTCCACTATTGGTTGTAGCATGAAAAATAGATATGGTCTAAATATTCATCAATAAAAGATCGAGAAAACAAATTCTGCGGTATCTATGCCACTTTTACTTTACGTGTAAATATGTATCACAGAGATAGACCAACAGACTTAATTTATATCAAAGATGATGCTGGAGAACATCATAAAAAGGGTGGTCTTTTCAACAAATGGTATGAGACAACTGGATATTCATATAAAAAAAGGAAGAGAAAATGAATCCTAGCATCACTTCATAACAAAAATAAATTCCATGTAGATTGTGAATAAAACTGGGGACCCTAAAAACTTTCAGAAGATAAAATAGAAGTGCATCCTTATGAATTTGGAATAGAGAAAGATTGTTAAAAACAGAACTCAAAACAGTATTAACTGCAAAGGGAGGATAGATCAGTTTGACTAGACAAAAATTAAAAACTTCTGGTCATCAAATGAGAGTCAGTGGGATAGCCTCAGAATATTAGTAACACAAATAACTAATAATCTGTTCCTTAGGAACATCTACAAACCAATGAGACAGGAACCCAGCAGAAAAATTAGAAAGTGACTCAAAGAGGCATTTCACAAAAAGAAAAATGAGATGAGGCCATAAGAATCTAAGCAGCACAGAAAGCAAACAGAAGTCTGGTGCTGAGATTCAAAATTGCTCTGGAGAGAAGAGAGAAAAAGAGAAAAGAAAAGGAAGAAAGTGCAGTCAACCTCAAGACTGTCCTGGGGAATCGTGAGAAAGTAGTCAGGATGCCATGCAGAGCTAGGTCGACTTTGAAAATTCATAATATAGGAAAATACTATGCATTATTAAAGGTGAATATTCAGAATGGTCTCATCATATCTTATGATGACCCAGAACTCTGGGACCAAAGGGGGAAAAAGGCTTTGGAAGGGTGGGGTGGGTAGATGTGTTCTCCAAAATATAAAACCCAGAAAATTTCCCTGTGTATTTCCTGAGATTATTACCATCAAGCTCACCGAAGATAAATAAAAGTCTGAAATAGATCTCAAGAGGAAGAAAATTATTTCTAGAAGCACTCTTGAAAATACAGGGCTTTCAGACTCATCAGCATTAATACACTAGAACAGTGACTAAAGGAAGTTGCAGAAAATCTCTCTTAGGATTGTTCAATAAATATAAAATCAAGTCATCCGACCCAGAGGAAATTCCAGTTCAAAAAGATGCATGCAACCCAGTGTTCACAGCAGCATTATTTACAATAGCCAAGACATGGAAGCAACCTAAATGTCCAGTGACGGATGTCTGGATAAAGATGTGGTACACACACACACACACACACACACACACATGAGTATTACTCAGCCATAAAAAAGAAAGAAATAATGGGTGGACCTAGAGATTATCATACTAGGTGAAGTAATTCAGAGAAAGACAAATATCATGATATCACTTATATGTGGAATCTAAAAAAAGAAATGACACAAATGAACTTATTTACAAAACAGAAAGAGACTCACAGACACAGAAAACAAGCTTATGGTTACTGAAGGGGAAAAGTGGGGAGCAGAGGGGTAAATTGGCAGGTTGGGATTAGCAGATACAAACCACTTTATACAGAGTAGATAAACAGCAAGATGCTACTGTAGAGCACAGGGAACTACAATGACTTGTAATATGCTATAATGAAAAAGAATGTATGTATACGTGTAACTAAATCGCTATGCTATAGACCAGAAATTAACACAACATTGTAAATCAACTATGCTTCAATTAAAAAAAAACGCTCGTCATCCATTTAAGGTCTTTGAATGTGAGACGACACTTAAATCAGCTGCCTTTTGAGCTCTCTTTAATCTCCGTTATTTATCTTTCAGCTCAAGCACTTAGTCTTAATAAAAATGTTCTAAAGCGAAACAAGAAGAAGAAATATAACAAAGGCCAGACCTAGGAAAAGAGGCCAAATGTCTGTGTCTAGGATTTATGCTCAGTCTCCCAATGCCTCAATATAAATACAAAGTAAAGGCTGAAATTAAAATAGAACTGAAAAACTTCCGCTTCCAGGAAGATGTAGAAGATGTGCGTTCCTCTCTTCTTCCCATTAACCCCAAACATGAACATTTTGCATCAACAAACACAAGAAGACTCTGAAAGGTGGAGAGAGGAAGGAAGACTGGCTCGGGACCTGGGGATCCAGGGAATGACACAACGGTGAGTCCCCTGGGTTTTGTTTTTGCCTCACAGATCCCAGGCTTGGAGCTGAAAATGTCCACAGCCTGGAAACGGCAAAAGAGCAAAGAAAAAGCCCCAAGGAAAGAGAGAAAAATTTTAGCTCTACCCTTTCGAGAACAGGTACTGAGGATGCTCTCCTAGTGAACTACAGAGGGAGAGTGAGTGGAGCTCCATTTCTGGTCTTCTTCCTGTTAGATTCCTTCGTGTTCACGAAAGCATGCTAGTCCTAGCTTCAACCTGCAGAAATGTGAACACAAGTGGTTTTGTCTTAGGAACACAGGATGATCACAGCATAAGTACTAGGCAAGAAGCATCTCTCCGCCAGCCAACTTCCGCCGAAGGCTTGGTCAACGGGAACTGAGGACATGGAGGCCTGTCTCTCCATCTGTTTGTCAGGATACTTTCAAACCTGCTTTGGGGCCAACTTCCACCATCAGAGGTAGCATTACTGAGCCTTGCCACATTGCCTGCAGCACCTCACTGTTAAAATGGCTTTGATTGAATTATTCTCCAGCCTCACGCTATCCTACTTTTTAAAAGGATTTTCTGAGGTACATCTTCTGCGTTTACTATAAGGATTCAGTCGAAGACATCGTTCAGGGTTCTTTTTATGAGCATATGCTAGAAAATCTCTCTCTTGCCTTATAGATATATTAAAAAGAACTAGACTTCTCCCCCCAAAAACTGGTTGGTTTTAGTCACGTGGACATTGTGCACCACCAGACTAATCATAATTTCCTCACTAGGTTGGCTGCTAGAAAATTTAAAATTGAGTCAGTGGTCTACCCTGAACAGGTGTGTAGCCCGTCCAGGTACACATTTTGTAGGCCAGCCTCATTGGATACCTGTTCTTTTATCTCCTTGGCCTCTTCATCTAATTTATTTCCAGTTAAAGGATTATGTTTATTTTACGTGATTTTTGTTAACAATCTCACATTTTCTTAGAACTCAGGGCATATAAATACATAATTACAGAGGGAATGAAGAACATGGGGATGGCCATACTTACACGATCCCGGAATATAACCCTTTTAAGTCTTCACAAACTACTCATTATCAGGGGTTAATGCATTATGATGTTTCTAGGAATGGAAATTGCAGAAGAAATAAAAAGAGCTAGGTACTGAGATACAAGAGGGATGCAGTGAAACAACTGGAACTACGTGTCACGTACCACGATGCTGTTCCTCCCGGCACATTACACACACCCAGGCGCTGGGAATATGAATAACTCTACACGGAGTTCCCACGTGAGAGAGAAGACAGTGAGATGCGTGGCATCCTGGAGCCTCTCTGAAGCTATGAAGGGCTCATCCTGGAGTCTAGAAGGACTCAGATCTCCTGCTATTTAGCAGCTGATGTTTCTTTGGACCTTTATGGTGGCCATCACTGAACATGAGTCCACAGAGGAAGAGAGGGAAACTGAGGATCACAACCACAAGAATAGGGGAGGCCGGGTCCCGACCTTTCCCAGCCAGATCAAGGTGAAAATAAGCTCAGACGTGGGGGCAGCTCTGTTCACATTTCAACCAAACTCAGGAATATGTCTTACAGAATCGCCTCCATTGTTATATTCAGTGGCGGCACTAAAGGGGTTGGGGTGGGGCTCGAGGGAGCCCTGCAAACCACTGAAGATGGATGACCAGTGTGAGTCACAACAGTGTGCTCTGACATGCCACCCCATCGTCAAGACGCCCTGCCTCCTCCTCTAGGCGACCTGCCATCCCTGAGCGGGGCCTACAAGGAGGAGCCAACGGCCGACTTGCCTTTACAAACCCCAAAGGTGTTTCTGGGAAGGATGACTCTACAATGGGCCTGTGTGTTTGTCCGTGACATCACCGCGCAGAGAGACGCTGGAAAACTGCTTTCTGCTCAGAGCCACAGAGGGGACTGAGGGGACCAGTCTGAGAGAAGTTCTCCGGAGTTTCCAGGAAGGAGAGAGAGAAGGTCACATCTCCTCTAGAGCAGAACGTGCACTGGCTTTGCTGTGACAGCACGAGAGCCCAAACTCCCAGCTCGACACCTTCTGAAAGGCTGAGTAACCTGGACAGGTCACCTTACCAGTTAGAAGCTGTGATCCCCCCGCTGAGAAGCCAACGGAGGGATTCAATGAAATAAGGGACCTGGGGTTGTTTACAAGCTGAAGGGCACTCCCTACCCATGTGCCAGTACTGACAGCAGCAGCAATACAGAATCAAGCCTTGTTTTTAAGAGAAGATGCTTCTGTCAAATCTTTTATCTCCCATTGAAAGTAACTGCGAGGGTTAGCTTAATATATTATAATAATGTATACATATCCATATGCAAGAAAAAGTCATTTTTTCTGAATTATTAAAGCTTAAAAGCTATCGTCCTCAGAGATACTGTCTAATATTAGAAATGCCATTTGGAACCTATCGAACCTTTTTATCAACATGGCAGAATGAAGCTCATTGCAATTCAAGAAAGTCATGGTGCCTGTCAAACCCGCTCTCTATGTTTAAGGGCAGTTAAACCACCCATAGCTCCCTGCTCAGGGAGGTGGCCCTAGGCTGTTCCTTGAGTAAGGGGAGGTCACCCACAAGCCTGGGAGGGGGCACCTGCCAACGGCTGCTGGTTGGATGGAGGGGTTGGTCAACATGATCCATCTGCCCAACACAGGAAGTGGTCTTAGGGCCAGTAGGACTCTTTCCTCTGAAATTCCGGAAAATATAGAGAATATAAACCAGCTGGTGAAAAAAAAAAGTTGGAAAAGGTAATGAACCTGGAAGAGCAACCTCAACCCCAAGAGAAGGAGGAACCTGCACAAACACCCATGACTGAACGGGAGCAACAAAATAACCTGGTTTTTAACATCACATTAGGTGCTAGAGGGCTGCCCTCCTGCCTGCCCACGAGTTCGTCTTCTCTGTGGCCAAATCTCTCCAGTCTTAACCCAACAGAACTCCTCTTTATCTGTGGTGGTTTAGCCAAGGCTCTGTTGCCTTAACCCCAAGCATCTGACTCATACTGATTTCATTTTCTTGTCGTTTAGCGAAGTGAATACCTCTACACTCAGCTCAAAGTAACAAGTAAAACAAATACTTGCAATATCTACAATTTATGAAAACTGCAAAAGCCGGGGGTGTTCAAACACCTTTCTGGAAGCACAAAACATCCATTTCGCCAAAAATATTTCTAAAACCTTCCTAAGTGTTTTGTTTCTTTTTTTTTTTTTGAGAATTCCTTGTAACAACTGCTCATATATAATAGAACTGAAAGAATAAATCAGTTTGGTCTTTTAAAACAATTACATTTTTGGTTCAAAACTGACCCAAAAAACTTCTATTATTAATAAAAAAAATCATTTAAAAAAAAGTCAAGCTCAGATTGTCTGGACTCTTACTGGAAGGCACATTGTACCTGCTGTAGTTCTGCTGCATGGGAGAGCTCTCTTTAGGGAAAAAAACAAAAGTGTAAGCCAAAGATTCACGTAGAGTTAAATTATGAGTATATGTAAGTAATTTCGAAGACCTATGGATGTCTTCCACAGTATTTCTTTCATTCTCTACAGAGTTGCACAGTGCTATAACACTCTGAGACGCCCACCTTCTGGGGCTCTATGCTAGTTTACTGGGAAGAATATGGAGAAATTAATATTAGTGGTACCCCAGTGTTTCACGTATATAGATACCATTGCCGGCGTCAGCCCAGTTCAGGACTTTGTCATATGGGGTCCAATACAGGATTATGAGGCAGACAGAGGCTGCAGCATTTAAGAGATGAGAAGAGAAAGAGAGATAGTAGAAAAAGAAAAGGAAATAGAAAAAAATCAAAACTCCAAAAGAGAGTGATGTTTGAGCGTATGTTACTGAATAAATGAGAATAAGAATGTGTACATTCTGAGGTGCACCTGCTAATGCCTGGTACCCTAAGGAGCAATAGCTCTAGATGGATGGACTAAGATCTTAAAATGGATTTGACTTTGGACTTTATATCAGAATATATAATGATTGCAGTAGGCTTAGAATTGGAAAAAAAAAAAAAGGAAAGGAAAAGAAAAGAAAAAGTTCACTAAATTTCACATGATACGAATTTTACATGGAACTCCAGAGAATCTGCAGCCAAGTAGTCAAGCCATTGTGGTGACATCCATAGGTCCATAAATTCACCCCCGCCCCCCCAGCAAACTAAGGACTGTGACTGTTTGTGAATTATGAGTATTTGTAAATAAGTCCCAGGAACTAGGGATGTTTTTCACAATATTTCCTTCTTTCTTTACAAAGTTGGGGGCACCATAGAATGATCTTACAATCTCACTTGTGGACCAGCCAATTTAATGCTGGCTGTAGCAGAGATCCGTTCACGAAATCAGAACTTCAGGGGAATGGAGCCCTCAACAGCATCCTCTTCAGCAGCAAGGATGCAAGGATAAACAGGGAGGGGACAGGCTCATCCACTCTTCAAAGGGATTAACACCCCTCCCTCAATACACATACCAGTTTCCCTGTACTCCCAGTGAACTCTGCCCGCTCAGAGTCCCCAGTGGGTGGGGAAGGGGAGGTGCTTGGCTGTTAATTCTAAGAACGCTCCCTTCCTCCTGTACTTTCAGGCTTCCTGTTTCCTTGGGGGACGGCAGCCTTCTCTCCACTGGCCATGGACCAGCAGAGAAGACCCCGGGAACTGCTTTCACTTAGGAGGTCGATTTGCAAACCTTTTAGCATAAGCAGCGTTGGATTTGAGATGCAGCAGCTTGTTTTCCAAAGACAGTTTTTTTTCCAGCAGGGTTCTCTTTTCCTAGGAGAAAATAAGGTACAAGTTTTTGCATTTTTCTTTTCCTCTCTGTCTCTGCCTTTCCCTTTGTCTCTTGTTTTCTCTCTGTGTGTGTGTATATGTGTTTGGCAAGGCATTCTTGCAAACTGTTCACAAAAGATGCTTATTGTAATACTAGAATTATATTTTGAGTTAAAGAGCTAATTTCACGTGGAGCTGTTACAACCCACCCCAGTGAAGCCTGGTCAGGTATTCTCCGCATGGTTTACAAGTAGCTCAAAGACGGGTCTTCACTGCCCTCACTTGTCCGGAGAACTCTGGCTTCATTCCACCCCCAACGCTAACCGCCTGCTCATCTCTCTGTAGGCACCAACTCTCCCTACATTACACCTGCTTCTCCTCCGTTACACTGAGTTGTTGGTATCCAAGGACACTACTGCACTTGTCTCGATACCTACCTGCTCACATGGCATCCATGAGGAAGTGGAAAAGTAGTAAATGTATTTTTAGTGAAGGATCAAGGTCACAAATGATAAAGCCACATCCTAATTAAGATATGAGAAATTTTGACATTGAGAAAGACTATCTAAAAAAAATACCCTTAATGTCATTATTAAACCAAACTCTTTCCATTCAAAAGGAGAATAGACAGGTCCATGAAAACCCAAGAATGATTGCGTTCTATTTTTTGTACGTGATGGAAATAGACGTTTTGACATTATTTACAGTGCTATTTAAAAATCACTCCTTCTGCAATATTTATATGGGTAAATAATAGGCAGTGCCATATGGCAAAAACATTGGAAAGTCTTTGGACATGGCCTGACCTGATTTCGAAACTTTGGGACTGTGTAATTTTTGCCAAGGTTTTAACCTCTCTAGACTTCATCACCGCAAAAAAAAAATTAACCAAAACTTAGAAATCAAACTATATGATTTTAATGTCATATTGGGTCATTGTTTAATAACCTGAGCCAAGGAGTTTTTATTCTCTTGGAGAATTTCTTTGTATTTGACTTTATTATTTATTATTTGACTGCAGCCCTGACTCTATGAGATTGCATGTTAATTCATAGATTTCCCCCTAGTAAAAAAGATAATCTGAAAGGTTATGATTTAATTGCCTTAAAGCATATTAACCAGCTTTGTATCTAAACCTAGTAATCTTATTCTATATTCTTGTTTTTCAAAATGCATATCAATAGCCTATTTCAAAAAATATTCTATTTAAACCAGTAGTACCATCTTACTGCTTTCCTCATTAATTAATGAGTTGAATAAAACATCTAACATGTATTCACTCTCTATTTGTTTGTCATATTTTTGACTTTTTGAACATCCTAAAAATGGAGATCTATCAATATGGAACTGTTGGGATAATTGGAGATGTATGTGAAAGGTCTACATGCTTCTCTGGCATATTAAGACCTGAATCTCTAATAATTTGAAGGAGTCAAACACTTCATATCTTATGTGCTGCTATTTTTTAAATTGATACTAACTTTGTCAAAAATTTCCTGTAGCATTCTTGTCACATATAGATTATCTTTCTGGTGTAGCCCTAGTGGATCTGAGAATCAAGATCTCCTTGCAAGTTTATTAGGACACGTGGATCATCAAAGAAACACATCGCTGATAATGTATTTTGAATTTGTAGGAAGAAAAATGGCGTTTAACATTCTTCCTAATAGACTTACTCTCAATTAATGGATCTTCATAATCAGGGTTCAAAGAGACAGGCAACTGGACAAGTAAATGGTTTGCCCTGGTCAGGGCTCCAGCATCTAGCCTGGGTCCCTAGTACGTCCTTGCTAATAACACAGAAAATCACACTACACCAGCCAGCACTTCGCAGGGACAATGTCTTCTGGAAAGAGAAAGGCGTTCACAGCACCACCCAGCGGGCATCCACTCTTCCCCAAACCACACCTCTGAAGAGCTCAAGAGCTCCCTCACCCTACTGATCAAGGGGGAGTGGATACCAATTTAAATCCTTGTCGTGCGTTGACATCTAAATGGTTTAGCAATCAAGGATATCATTTTTTATCTGGCATCAGGGAAGATAGGGGCATCACGGAAAGGACTGTGAACTGCCACCTGGAAGACAGTGGAATAGCTCCTCATTCGCATTGTCCTCATTTGTGAAATGATGAGGAACTAGATGGTCTCTAAAGCGCCTTTGTGCTTTCAAATTCTAATAGAGCGAAATCAGTTACACTGGAAAACAAACATGATGCAGCAGAATCGTGCTACTAGCCAAAGGAGCATATGCCGTATTAAAATGCTCTTATTGGGCGTTTTTGCTGGCTTATCACTATGTTTATGGAATTCATTCTCACTGCATTTCTGATTAAAGCGGGACAGATGGTGAAGGTTTTAAGTAATGTGTTCATTACCAGACCTCATACCACTAATGGCTATTTACTGGAGCAGTGGCTTGTGCAAGTGAGTAGAAAATGAATCCTTCTCCAGGGGGTACCCAATCCCAGGGTGGTGTTTATCAACCTTTGTTGTGGATGCTCATTTTTCACTTTCATGTCCTGTTTGAACTCACGTCTATTTCTTACAGAGACAAAGGTCTCAGTACCCACCCTCCTCTCATTCTGATACACACTCTCCTCCTGAGAAACCCTTCATCACAGCCTATATTCTCAGGATCTCCTTAAACCAAGATGTCACCAATCTTTGCTTCTTACAGTTTTCTTTATTTGCTTGTTTGTTTTTACAAATACAATGGATCTTTAAACTAAAGATGTTTACAAAAAAAAAATCTCCTGTACATTTTCCTTCCACTGCATCCCCACCTCCTTCCACCTTCCAGAGATTCCAAAAGACTCCACCCTAGGAGGTCAGTGAATGGGAGTCTTCTGGAAGGTTACTGCATGGCTTTGGTGAACGTGGGCATCCTGTCCACTGACTGTGTCTGAGTTCCTAGAGACAGTCCACCATATGGGCTCAATATTAAGACAAAGGCTAGACCATCAATTTTCAGATATATCTGCCGGTATCTTAAACCACTTAGCCTTATTCTGGGGTCCTTTCCCTCATCTTCAGTAGGAGTGTCAGTGTCCCTAAGGATCCCTGGGGGAATGAATGAAGGAGGTTCCTTGAGTCTTACCAAAGCCAGATAAACTACAATTGCAATTTCCACAAAGGGACTATAAGTGGTTCAATCACAAATAGAGGTCTAGCCTCTAGCCCTGCCTAGTATATGGTAGGTGCCCAAATATTTGTTGAATAAACAGTTGAATGAATCTATTCCAGAATTCTGGGAAGAACTCACATCCAGTACAGATTTCCCAGGGCTTCTAGGAAATGGAAATTACATTCCAATTTTCTGTGTTAATCTTCAGGGATTGACAGCTAGCCACTAAACCTGACACAGTGTTACTGGGTTTGAGGCGATCACGAGTCTAAATGTAAACGCCACGCCGTTTACTCCAGTGTGACTCAACAACCCTATCTGAGTTCCAGAATCGTCTTCCCTTCCTGAATGCAAACATTCCTTGCTCAGTCTTAGTTTGCTAAAGTATTTATTACAGGGTAAATATCCTAACACTACAAAGTATTCATCCAAATGTTACAGTTTGTCTAAAACATCTTAATGATAGCCTGTCACACCCGGGGAAGCCAGCTCCTAGAGGACATTCCACCCCTGCGGTTCCTGCAGCAGTAAAGCACTCAGCGACCCACCGCCCAACACGGATGTAGCTGTATATTATTATTACTAGATTCATTTATGTTCGGGCTTAATTAATTTTTGCAATTTCTTCATAAGACCTTCATTAAGATTATAAATTTTGGTCAAAAGTGTTATAAATTAAGCTCTTGGGAAATATGTAAAAACTTAATCAAAGCTCCTTGGCAAAACTACTGAAAGGTGATGCTTTTGGAGTGACATTTCTCAAATAGCGTCAATTCAGGCAGACTCATAAAACAAAATAAGGTTGAGAAGAGTGGAGGCAAATCAGGGAATTAATATAAAAAATATAAAAATGTATTGGGCAATACTTACTACATGTTAAAGTCAATATTCTTATCTACTCCCAATTCAGTTTCAGAGACGCCAAATTTTCTATTTGTTTGGTTTGCTATTAAAAAAAATATGTCTTGGTTTGTCTAAATCCCAAATTCTAAGGCATGCAAAATTAAATTAATGTGCTTACTTTTTATGTGTGCCAGCTACTTCAAGGAACACTGCATGAAACTTTTAATAATTTTTGTTCTATTATTTCTCTTCCCTAAATTGTCACTTTTGAGAGCTCCAATTTCCGTAGAATGGCTTTCTTAATGTGAACTCCATCTGTCCCCGGGGAGTTGTAGGTTTTTACAAAACTAAAGTTGACTTGGGTGGCCCAAAATGGACAATTCATTGACTCTAGTATATAAAAATACTATGTTACAGGAATCCACTATGCTATTACTAATTATAGCTGGACTTTGTGATCTTTTTCATCATTTCTATTCATAGCCTCACCTGGTTCCCCTTTCTGAGACGTACATTTACCAGGAAAAAAAAGCAACAGATAATTATATGACTGCAGTATTTGCAAAGAGGTAAATCAGTAACCACAATACAGGTTACCTTACATGTGTAAGGGAAGAAGCAAACATTATCGAGCACTTCCTAAGGCCTTAAGAGTTGCAAAGGGTACTTTTACTTAATGCTGTTTATTTTCATGTTATTTTCTTTAATCTCCACCCTAACTCCGTCAGGAAGAAATCCCTTAAATTCTTCAGGGGCCTACCTTTTCCATTCTCTGTACAAGATTCTCCAGTTCCGTGATTTGACTATGTTTTTCTTCAAGCTTTTCAGCAATTTCATTCAGGTTTTCAGCACGTTGTTTCAATTTCTGTTCTTTTTCAAGTTTGTTAACCTTTGGTCAGAAAAACAGTTGTCAGACTACTGTTGTAATTAAACCTATACAGATATTATCTTCCTCTGTAATTTTCTGAGTAACCAGAAAAAAACTTAATAACTCACATGTGTTTAGAATTACTTTCTTAAGTTCAGTTTTCCTTCAAAATAAGCCTGATGGACTACAACACTAAATCAATGAAGAATTAATAATCTATAAATATTATCTCTAGAATGTTGACATTTGTTACCATAAACATACTATCTGAATTGGTATAAGAAAGAGAGACAGTAGTTTAAGAAAAGCAACTACTATATATAAAATAGATAAATAAGTTTATACTGTACAGTACAGGGAACTATATTCAGTATTTTGTAACCTATAATGAAAAAGAATATGAAAATGAATATATGTATGCATATGTACGACTGAACTATTATGCTGTACACCAGAAACTGATACAACATTGTAAACTGACTATACTTCAATAAAAAGAAAATCTGTTTGGAAACATAAAAAAAATTAAAATATTTACAAATATGATGATATTATTAAAAAAGAAAAGCAACATTTTTGACTTTTTCTCAACAAAACTTACTAGAACAAAAATAAAATCTTACACGTTCAAGTAAAAAATGTTTTATAATCAGAAAGTGTCGTAAAAGCAGAATAATTATTCCCACTGTGTCAGGGTTTATCTCCTAGCATAGAGCAGGGGTTGTACCTAAAGATAAAGGCGAGACGCCACCAGCAGGCAGCCCACAGGCCACACTTGGGAGGGGCACGCCCGTCTGCCTGTGCCTTTAATAGAACTAGAGGCTTTTCAGTTAAAAAAAAAAAGTCTGACTTCCCTTGAAAATACCAGGCAGGAATTCCTGCCCGGGAGCTCCCTCCAGACTGGGGCTGAGTCCCCTTTGCAGGGCTCAGGCACTCCCGTCCACACACACCTGCTCGCTCGTTCCCTTGGTACCTTCTCTGCACCCCGCCTGCATGTGAGCCGTGACCATCACATCACAGCCTCAGGCTTCAGGACACGTTGCCTTTGCCGTGGGTTTCCTACTGCGCTCCCCTGGGGCTCCTGCCTGGGCAGGCAGAGACCAGGGCGCCCCACCCCAGCCTGAATGACCTTCCCTGTTTTGAGTTTTGACCAAGACAAACATACACACACTTCTCCCCTCCTCCAGTCCTAGAACACACCCTTCAAATAAAGTTTTATTGGTCCTAGGATACATATTTCAGATTTAAAAGCAAACAAAAAAAGTGTGTGTGTGTCTCTGATATACAGAGACATATACATATATTTATATGGTTTTACATTTTAAATTCATATATATTTATATATTAAAATATAAAATATATAATTTGTATTTTTCATATATATATATATACACACATACACTCTTCTTATTTGTTTGCTTACCCTGAGGGATGTATTCCAGGACCAAAAAGTTTTTGAAACAATTTATCTAGTGCTGCAACTTTTCCATTTTAAAGTCAAGTCCAAGGAGACAGAATGACTCAAACGGGGCCACCTAGTCAGTCAAAGGTAGACCCAGTACCAGAAGGGAAGTCACTGGCCAGTGTCTTGGGGTCAGCCCTGATTTCTAGGCTGGGGGGCACTGCCTCGCCTCCCTCCTGCTTGTGCTCTGCCAGGCTCTGGGCAAGGGGGTAACACAGCATCTCAGCAACATCTGGGTACCAGGCTAAGCACAGATAGGGGAGATGGACACGGAGGATGGGCAGCCCGCCCTTCCCCGGGCTTGCCAAGTCAGCTGGCCCTGGCTTGGTTCAAGTCTAACTCCTCCAAAAAGAGAGACTTGAACAGCTTGGGGGTCAGTTCACCAGCACGCAAGCGGCGAGCTCGTACCTGGAGTAAGTATTTACTGTCCTCATGCTTCTGTCTAACTTCTTCAGATTGTGTTTGGTAGCTTTCAAATAACCTCTGGGCCACATTTCTCAGAGCCGCTGCTCCTGCTTCTCTGGAGGCTTCCAGCTAGAAACAAAAGGTCACTGTGCATGTTTTGACATTTACAGTTAAAAGGGGTAAGGACAGAACAATTTGACGGGCAATTAAAAACACAGGCTGTCGCTGTACCATTTGCACCTTCACAGACAATGGATAGAAGGAAAGACGCTGTCAGCTGTTATCTGCTAAGAAGAAAACATAAAATTTGAAAACCCCCTACTTAGTGGGGCTTGTCACGCAGGTGATTTGCACCCTCCAGGCCAAAGAGAGTGCCATGCACATCAGTGCCCTGCATTTATAGACTGCACTCTGCAAAAAGGTCCCCAGTGCCCCATCTGCTTATACACATATTTGCAAGCGTCTTAGCATCAATGTCCACAACAGTACTGAAAGATGTATTTTCCTGAAATAGAAGTGGGACAAGATTGGAACATTAAGGGCAATAAAGCTAAAGTGTCATGAATCTTTCAAGGATT